TAAGCTATTTTATTCTTGTCTAAGTGAACACACACACACATACACATATATATATATCTATATATAATGTTCTTTTATAATATTTTTGAATAGATATATATTTATTAATTCTTAACATTTAATGGTATATGTTACATTAAATGGTTTTTTACACAAATAAACCCAGTGCTTTTTGGAACGTTGTAATCTGTGTGCACTGAGCCCAGGCAGGCACAGCCAATGGCTCCTCTTCTCCCTCACACTGCCTAATCTTTGAGGGCCTCCTTATAGCTTGTTGGATATGCCAAAGACACCCCACAGCAGGGCCTTTGCATTGCTGCTTCCTTTTCCTGGAGCACCTTTTCACTCAACTATCTAAATGATCCCTTGGCAATGTCTTTGCAGAGCCCCTGATTGTCCACCAACACACGCTGCTCCCTTCTTTCATCTCTGCTGTGTATCCCTCTACAACTCTTATCACCACAAACATTAATTTTATATGTGTTTTTTTTCCTTTCTTTTTCTTTCTCTATCTGGTTGCATTTCTCCCTCTGTCTTCCTACAAAAGTAAAGGAAGAATATATCATTGTGGTATCCTCAATGCTTAGATCCAGTGCTTCATACATTACAAGTGTTCAACAAATTCAAGGAATGAATTTGAAAGAGCAGATTACAGATTAATCTAGGAAGAGATAAAAATCTGATAAGCAAGATTTATAAACAGAGAATGGCTGACTTAGAATATGTAAATCCTTTGTGTCAGTGCGCTGCAATATTGTCATTCTTCGCAGCTCCCTACTTTCTGGGATATAACTTATAGAGATCAGATACAAAATGAAAACAAAGGAAATAACCTGCTTTATATTATGGGACTATAAATAGCATTGACTGAAGAAATAAAACTATAAACAGCAATTAAATCAAATGTCCCTATCCCTTGCTAGCACAGGCATGCAGCACGTGCTGCTGTAAGTTTCCTGTTCTTGCTAAGACCTAGGATTTGGAATGCATATGAAAGACAATTTATACATTTACTGTGGTGGGAATTACAAGATGACAATTAGGTGACAGGGATACATCCTCACATCTTATGAAATCATCTGATTAGGTGTGACAGCTCAGATGAGAGAGACAAAAGAACCCATATATTCCTAAACAGTTATTAATTCAGGTACATAAGGTAGAGCATGTTGCTATTAGAGGATGGTTGGGCTCATGAGGCCCATTTGCACTGAAATAGTTATTAGGACAATGCTTCTTTAGCTCTGCAGATTATCAGGGCCCAGTCCTCATTAGCTGAGGTTAAGCCCGATAAAACACAGTCAGAAATGAACTGTACACTTAAAGGATTTGGCACCATCATGATGTGGCACATAACTGTGTTGCTTAGTCCAGGGTTTTATTATGAGTAGAAACAGTTTGCTAAAAATAAAGTTCCTACTGTCTTTCAGTCAAACAATTTCCTTCATCTGCCAAGTGACATTCAATGCACTCCTTTCTTACTAATCTTTGAAGGGCTTTTCACTCGCATGGTTATTCTTGGATTCCAAAATTGTCACAGTAAGAGTAGATTTTGGTTAATACTGGCTGTATGTTTGTGTCATAGTCAGTTTCAACACATTGTTTTCCTGTAGACAGCACTGGAAGGCAGATTGCCATAAAATAAAACCAGACGGGCTGCACGTTGTTGTCACTATTGATTCAAATTCCATGAGAAATTGTTAAATGAGCAGAGAAAGGTGATGAAAAGTGATGAATTGGATGCTGGCGCTCAGTCAGGTGGGCAGGAAAGGGAGAGTGCAAAGCAGCAAAAAGTGAAGGTTACTAATTCTAGATCAAATATCTACATTAGGTAAAAGTGATGGGGTGAATAATGAGATGCTTTATGAAGTGAGCAAGGAGAACGAGTGAAGAAGAGAGCAAATCTTGTGTTTGAACCTGGCCCTTTAAATTTTATGTTGCTCTTTTTATTTCTGTTAAGAGATGTCTGTTTTATTACTGAAATGTTACCACATAATACATTCTCAATAAATGTTTTTTGGATAAAACTAATAAGGCCCTTTATAACCTTCAATATTCTATTAAAAGGCCTCTAAGGAAAAAATTTTACTAACACTTAGAAAATTGTGTTTTGATGGATTTGTCTTTAATGACAATAAGCCAAATTTCTAAGCAATTTGTGAAAAACTCACAAGTCTGACATATTTTGAAATTTCAAAGTACCTCTAAGGTGTGGTTTCCAAATTGTCTACATTCACTGACATGGCCAGAAGAAAGCAAGGTATTCTTTTTTAAATGGACCTGGATATGCAAAGTGACATGAGCCTAAATAAGAGGTCAGGCAAGTAATTTTATGCCCTATTCATTGCTATGCTAACCACTATGTAAGTGATTTATAAATGTTAGCTTATTTAAACCTTATAACAAAATTTTGGGCTAGTTATGAGTATCTGGTTTACAGATGAGGGAATTGAGGCCTAGAGAAGTTAACTAATGTGCTTGACCTTAATGTCCAAGGTCAAATAACTAGTTGCTGAGGTAGCTGAGAGTCTAACTCAGGCCTTCTGCCTGGGGCATTCCAGTGATCTTAACTACTACCCGTGTCACACAAACAAAATCAAACAGCAACACTGGCAGCTACATGAATTGATAATTAAAGTGTTAGGTCATGTTATTTCAAAGATCCAGGTCTTTCATTCTAGAAATTACACCATAGTTTAACAAGGGTAATTAAATTTGTTAGGTACCTTTAGTTCTATTGTGAGAAAATGTGTAGCATGCAGTTTTGTATCATTTAAGAAATTGTCTCGTCAGAGTTGTAATTTCAGGGAAGAAAGGGAACAGAGATCATATGCTCAGGATTAGCTCTTTGTTGAGACATAAATGTTGCTAAATGATGCCCCTTTTTTCAGTTTTTCCTGTACTTTCTCCATCTGGAATTATTGTATGTGGTGAGCCTCATCTGGACTGGCACAGAGCCTCCACATGGTCTTTCTGAAACTTGAGCATGTGCTCCATACCGTGGTTAGCAGTGTGTCCACAAGCTAATCATCTGAAATGCTATATCACTCATCTCTTTATTAAGAAAATAATATTAGTTTTAATCATTTAGATTAATCACAGACCCAGCTGATAATCAGTGAAATATTTTATGTATTACTCAATATTCTCTGGAACTACATACTACAGATTTCTAAAATTTCATCTTCAGCCTGCCTCCCCATCTGTTATCACATCATATTTGTCCCTTCAAATTCTTTGCAACTCAGGTTTCATTCAACTATTTATTGTTTCTCATGTTTGCAATATTTTCCAAGCCCTCTTGTCTTTCAAGAAATTTCTTAGTTACCTGGGATACTATGTTGGACTAAAGGTAGGCTTATGGGATGGCTGTCACCTAAGCTGTCAAACCTAATTACAGAAGCTTGGAAATGCTACTTAGCCAATTTTTAAAAACAGATTTAAAAAAATAAAGATCAAATGAGATAACCAATGTAGAGGGCTGGTAGGTACTAAATATGTTTCTATCTTCAATTCCAGATCAATTACCAACTTCTGTATGAATCTTAGCTTGCCCCCCTCCCTTCTACTTCCTAAACCCCATCACTCACCCTAGTGAGTGGATTTGGGGTTTTCCCCTCTGTGCTCCCACCTCACCCAAGGGTGATACCTCTATTTGGCCTGTATGAGTTTTTAAAAATCTGTTTCTCCATCTAGTTCTTAGCACAACCTGCACATTTAAATAATTTGTGGAGCTCTTAAAAGAATACCCTTTCATGGTCCAGTTAAAGCAGAATCTCTGTTCTGGTGTGCGGTACTGCTTAAACATTTTTCAGGTGGCTTTAATGTATAGGTCTAGTCCAGTGATGGTAAGCCTTGTAGAGCTTTCAGTGATAACAAACAGCCCACTATGGTATGCATGTCATAGGTTCACCACCACTGGTCAACACTACTGACTCTGTGGAAATAGGGATTCATCATTGAAGTCCCTTGCTATCATGGAGACAGGCACTGATGGGATGTTCATGCACCATGGACCCTCTCTGGTCCTTCCCAAATACTTTTGACAAACTTCAACCTACTTGATTATGAAAGTGAAGTTGACACTTAATTTATTCATCATAGATTACATCTATATGATAGGAATCAATATCTAATAGAAAAGTAAATACTTTCTTTTCTCAAAATTTAGGTGTTGATTCAGACAATTTCCTATTCATGCATTTTTGTAGTTATAATTTTTTCATTATTTACTTTTCTGCAGTCATATTACCTGAGTGTTTTTAATCCATAAATGCCTTACAGGATGCCTAAATACCTGGAGCTGAAAATAGCAGTCTACTTGCCAATATGATATTTCTCATGTTTGCAGTGCTACATATATAAATCCAACACCTTCTAGCTAGCACTATTTTGTTGCTTTCCTCTTGAAGCGTAAATGCAGATTTATGCTTAACCTTATGTTGTGTTCTTTGTTTCACAGTAAGATATAAGTAATTGTGTTTAGATGTAAAACTGTACATAGTACCGTGAGAAAAGCTAAAGCAAGAGACAATGGAATAAAAAGCAATAGCTCTAGTAATTTGTTAAAACTAACTTTTCCCCGTGATGTCTGGCAGTGCTTCTTTTCTGAATGCTAAATGGAAGCTGATATATAATAAAATGCTTTCACACATTAAGTGTCAGACCACCATGACTAGTAAAATTTGATTTCTTATCTAAATGTGAAAGATATATGTTTATTTGTAGTAGAATTTGATTTTAGAGTGGCCTCTAGACACTAAGCTGAATGGTGGGTTAGGAAAGCAGATTCTTATCTTCCCTGATAAAGGGGATCCTGACTTCATTACCTCAGCTCTGGCTTAGAAACTGAAATGCTATCAGCTTAAGAAAAAGAAAGAAAATACATTAGAAAAATTTCTCTCACTGTTGGGGATCTCATTAGTGGAAGTGCACAGGGTATGTATTTTTATTGAAATAATTTCTATTTTCTAATTTCTTGCAATTTTGCTTTCTCTTAGATAATTAGCTCAGACATGGGGTCTACAGTTTCCTTCTGGATGATAGACACTGGGCAGAAAATCAAACAGTTTACTGGTTGCCATGGCAACGCAGAAATCAGCACTATGGCCCTTGATGCAAATGAGACCCGGCTTTTGACTGGCAGCACAGATGGAACTGTGAAGGTGTGAATACACTATGCTTTTTCTATCCAGATAGGAGGAGGCTAAAATGTTGTGTGAGAAGACATAGCTATAGATCCACTTGTTTCTGCCTTTTTGGTCTTTCAAGAAGAGAGATGAGACAAGATGAGAGCTAAATAACTTAAACTCTCTAATAACAAAGCTGCTAGGAAAATAAACCTCTGTGGAAATGAATAAATGATTTCTCTAAATAAATTATTTAGAATGAAGACATAACTTGGCTTACTTATTTCAGGAAGTCTTTTTCAGGATATTGAATGCAGAGTACTTTGGGGAATAAGAGGCCTGAATAATTTTCATGTGCTTCAGCTAATGTCTCTAGGTCTCTCCTAAATTTCTAAAATGAGAAATTAGGTCAAATTAGTAAACTTTAAAAAATGACATAGATGTAACTTTTTCAGAAAATGAATATTTAAAAGTAAACCTGTTTAATGATTTGTATTTTCATTACATGAAAGTGTAATAAAGAAAAAAAGATAGCAGAAAGAACAATCATAATCTTATTTATTGTCCATCCTAAACTGACATATCTTATGACTTTCAGTTTTCTTATTTTGTAACTATTACTCATTTCTTCTGGGAGGAAAGTGACATTTTACTTTGCAAAATGATGAATTTTTCATGTAAAGCTGGAAATGTGCTATCTTCAGTCATGCCCATCCATGACTCTTCTGTGCTTCCCTCAGCCCAGATAGCAATGACAGTCATGACTGGAGATGGCTTGTGACACCTTGAGGCAACAGAGGGCAGTTTCTTGAATAAGCTTTGAATAGTTCTCACATCTGTCATAGATACTGGGCTGCCTTCCACTGCAGTCTGTGAAAGGCCTGCCCTGGTGTGGTGTGTTACCCATTCAGCTAAGCTGCAGGGGTGAGGGGTGATTAGGAAGTCACCTGGAGATGTAATGACAGTATTGCAGAAATTAGGGGCAAGTTTTCAGAAATTCCAAGCTGTAACTATCAGTGTGAGAGAGGTGCTATATTTGGTTCCAAGTGAGAATCTCTGGAAATTAGTAAAACTGGGCTCTAGGAAGGTGAAAGGAGTCAGATACAGACTGGGAAATTGAGTTCAAGTGAAGACAAGTGGTTCAGTTACGACCTGGAAGATGCATCGCGGTTCCCAAACAACCTCTATCCCAACAATTGAGATAAAATAAAACAGGGACAACTGGAACTGGAGAGCTAGACAGTGGTTTAGGCAAAAGGAACAAGCCAAGATCTCATTTACCAGACCTAGGGTATAAAAATGAACTCAACAATGAAGCAAATGAATTAGGTTCCATTTTCCCTGTCTTAGAAAGTAACTGATTATGGACTTACTAGGATCATGGATGGTCAGATCTTCTCAATACCTAATTTTGAGAATTATTTTAGATGAGCTTGCTTAAAGTCATGTCAGAGGAAAATAAAGTAATATGCATGAAGAATGTGTGCACCCTTCAATTCTCAGAGGAACCCTGGACATTTTAGACCTTTATGTGAATTTAGTAGTATAATCACTGATTTTGAAGGTGCATTTATAGCACAGGTCAACTCTGAAATCTGGCAACCTCTTAGTAGAACACATAAATCAGGGCAGGCCTGTTCTGGCAATATTCTCTGAAGAAGCAGGAATGAAAGACACTCTCCAATCTCGCCTCTAATTTAGAATCCCAAATAAGTACCTATGTAATCAAAGACTTAAAATTATTGCCATATTTATCATGATCTCGAGGGATGCATTTTAAAATTAATTAATGTTTTTAATAATGTATATAGACAATAAACATTTTAAAACAAATAAGAGATACACAATTAAAGTATTTTTGTCATCCCTGTTTCCAGCTTGTCCCTTGAGTCTATCATTGTTAGTGGTTGTTTTGGGCATTCTTCTAGGCTATGGGTATGATTTGTTTCTTGATGGTAGTCCACTATACACGCTGTTCTACATTTTACATTTTTCTTTCTTGAACACTGGTTCATATGATGCATAAACTGAAAATATTAACTAATTTTTATTGTGTGCTAAATATGAACCAGAGACCATCCTAGGTGTGTGTGTGCATGCACACATACACACACACACACATCTACAAGGTTGGTACTGCTATTACTTTTATTTTATAAATGAGAAAATCAAAGCTTAAAGATCTAAAGCAACTTGCTCAGGGTACCACAACTGATTACGTTTGGGAAAATTCTACAGACACGGAGATGTTTCATCTTATTTTATTTTACTAATACTGAGGATGAAACCCAGGGTCTTACACATGGTAAGCATGTACTCTACCACTTGGCTATACTCCAAGCCTGATTCATCCTTCTTAATGGTTACATTATATGCTTCACAATAAATATTCCATAATCTGATTCAATTGCCTACTTGTGAGCAATTAGGTTAATTAAAAATTTTGGCTTTTGTAAATAAAAGATTTTGCAAGATATAATTGAAAATATATCATTTCACACACATAAGTGTATCTGTGGCTTGAGCTTTAATAAGTTAAAGGTAGTTTTTTGAGTTAAAGGGTACATATAGGCATTTTAATTTTGATACCTTGTATCAATTTGCCCTCTGCATGTGACTTAGCACTATTTTATAGAAGTGCTTCATTGTAACTGCTAGTGACTTAATACACCCTTCTTAAGGTACATCCATTGGGCCTACATCTTTATACCATTGCTTGAGTCAGAAGAATAGAACCTTTGTGCCTCCAGTAGGACCAAGTCTGGCACCCACTGTCAACAGGGCTCAATCAGTAGAAGATGGAAAACCTGGTACATGATAACTATGTTTCAGGCCCTGTATTAGATGTTTAATTCTTTAAATATCTTTAAGGAGTAGCTTTCCTATTTCACAACTGAGGAAAGGGAAATTTAGTCACCCTGAGATAGAATCAGGATTCCAAGAGACTCCAAATAGTGGCTTTTCATGATTTAATATTACCTTTTCCTTCAAGTAAAGCAAACATATTTACAATTTTTAAAATAAAATCTCATTAGAATAGACTGGTAGAGTTATAAGTAGAGTATGAGATATACATACATATGTGAAAAACAAGTCGTTTCTCCTTCTGTCACGCTCAATACAATACATACCACTGGTCACCAAAACTTTTGGAGGTATATTTTCCTCCACGTAACCAATTCTGTGGTGGGCTTTTCAGTGGATAGCAGCTGAGTGTCCTCTCAGTTCAATTCTGAAACTCTTCCTGGATATGATATCAGACCCCACAGGTCAAAGGCTCAGTCCTACTTGTCTGCCTTCACTTCAGATGCCAGTCACAAGCACAAGCATAACCCTGTGCCTCTAACCCACCTGCTTTGTTTTTCTTTTTCATTTTTCTTTTTTTTTTTGGTACCAGGGATCGAACTCAGGTCCTTGCTCTTGAAAGGCAGGTGGTGGAGCCACTGAGCTAAAACCCCTGCCCACCCACGTACTTTTAATCAAGATTTCTACAACCCCCTGACTTGGATTTGATTAATTTACTAGAGCAGCTCAGAGAACTCAGGGGAAAATATTATATTCATCCGTTTATTATAAAGAATATTCAGAGAACACAGATGAAAAGGTGGAAGGAAAAGATTCATATGGCACTACACACGGGAAGGGTGTGCAGCTTCTGTGCTCTCTGGGCATGTCACCCTCCAGGCACATCCAGGTGTTCAGCTGATCCCTGACCTTTCTTTTTATGGAGGCTTTATTTTGTGGGCAAGATCTATTTGTCATTGCCGATTGACCCAGTTTTTAATCCCTCTCTCTTAGAGGCTGGGGAGTGAGGCTGAAAGTCTCAATTCTATTTGGTTGGTCCTTCTGTGAGCAGTTGCCACATAGCAGAGCTCTGTATCAGCTCTTAATTACCAGTCATTTCCTTAGCATACCAAAGACACTCCTCAGTCCAGAGATTTCAAGAGTTTTAAAAGCACATTTCTAGGCAACAGGTAGAAGACCAAGTATTAAAACATATATTTTTCACAGTGTCATAAGAGTGATAAATATAATGTTAACTTTCAAAATAGTGAGAGTTTTCTTTAATTATACAGAACCCAAGAGAATGAACCTTAGTTTAGAATATAAACACAAACGTCTAAAATAATCCTATTCATAATGTTGACTAGACATTGAAGAATATAATCTCATTTTCTGTCTCAAAGGTGATTTTAATTTTTTTTCTTAAAGATTTGGGACTTTAATGGATATTGTCACCACACACTAAATGTTGGACAAGATGGGGCTGTGGATATTTCACAGATCCTCATTCTTAAGAAGACAATACTGGTTACAGGCTGGGACAGGTATGATATGCTTCATGTAAGACTGTGGGAAGAGAAAATAAAAACATTTTTATTTGAATCAAAATCTAATGGAAGAGGAATGTAGAAATCTGTGTTGATTCTAAGTCATTAACTTGCTAGTGACCTAGGAGAGGGAAACTAGCTGGAATTGAAAGCTTAATGAATAAAATATAGGATCACATAGTATAAGTGGCTTTGTGAAATGTTATAGCGCTTTCTGTAGCTATGGGAATTTGACTTTTTCTGCAAATATTCCAGATAAGGATGTAATAACATTTGTTGAGTTGCAAGTCTCCCCAATTTTAAAGTCAATAAATTCTCAGCATATAAATTACCTTCCTTCAGCTGTAATGGGAACTCAGTCTTTGCATGCCACTTGTTTTCAGTTGTAGTACAGGAGGGAAATGGCCCACTGACTTCTAGTGTGAGGACCTACTTTATATCACTGCAGAAAAAGCATTTTTCACAGGTTCTTACTCCTCTCCAGGAGGAGGTTGTTTTTTTTTTTTTTTTCATTTCATTATAAGGAAAGGTTTTTCTTCTAATGCAAATGAACAAGCAGACTAGCAAACAGTGTTGCACATTGCTTTGCTTTCAAGGGTAGTTTGATAATAAGAAAACTATAGTCCAGATCATATTTCATATTAAGAATTAATCAATCATCCTCTCCCTCAAAGGATAACACTTCTTCACAGTCCTGGGAGTAATCATGATCCACTATTAATTTACAGCTACTCTAACAGTCTATGGCCTAATAATCTCTATAATCAGGCTATGGCAATGAATAAGCTTGATTCTCTAATACCACGACAGAATAGATTTGTACTATCCCAATGATCCAATTTAAATTTTGAACAAAACAAAAAGGAATTAAAAAATGAATCCATATATGTCAAAACTTGGAGGTACCATTTTTACTTTTTAAAACGTCCAGTTAGAAATTAGTTACAAATATAAGCTTTTTTTGATTGTTTACAAGGGAAAATTTGAAAGATTAGATGTACTGAGTTACCAAATAATGATTTAAAGTAATATTTGATACTCTGATCTATGCTGGTGGGTGGTCACCTGCCATAATCTTGGGAGGAAGATTTGGGGACATAGAATGAGGGTGATAAAAGTTATTACTTCTCCTATCTTCCCCTATGCTTTCATTTTTCTGAAGGTTGTCAGGAGATGGAAACTTTATTAGAAATGGAAAATTGAATAATACATTCTCAGTTATATTATTTCCCTCTTTAGTGGATTTAAAAGTTATATTTTCTGAGTCAAAGGTGCTATGTAGGGATGGATTTTGTAGGATAACATAGAGCATCTTTTTGCTAAGAAGCTTTAAACAAAAGAGGCAAGAGGGTAGACAACTGTTTGGGTAAATCTGGAGAAATATGGTCTATTAATCCAGCTCCTTAATAATTCAGTGACTAGAAAAGAAATAATCAGAAGATTGACAGTCAGCTTTTTAAACTTTCTGTAAAATCCACAGAGAGATTGTTAGGTTAAGCTGTAGCTTTAACTTTTGGCTAAAATTACTTCTAAATACAGATATTAGTTTGATAATTTTGCCCAGAATGGAAGAGAAATTACGTTTACAGAGTGAAGTATCCCCACACATCATTTTATTTATACTGCTGTGAAACATTAGACACTTTACACACATTATGTAATTTAACTCTTCACTTCATCTGAGAAAGTAGGCAATATTTTATATGTACCTTAAATCTTTGTCTTCAGCTCTTATCTGTGTATGTTCACTTACCCATTTGTTTGCTGGGTTTGTCCGACTGCAATGCCAAATTAATTCATTATTTATTGCCCTATCCAAAACCTACTTTTTCTCTTAGATTTAGAGGTTTATTTAATGACCAGAGACCTGGATATCCACTTTGGTTTCCATTTCTCACTCGACTTCACAATCTAGTAGTCACTAAGTCATACTTTTCTTATATCCCAAATGTTTCCTAAACTTACCCCCATGAATACTTCAACTATATTATTCAGAGCATTGCTCCTACTGAAATGAATGCCACAACCTTCTAATTTATCCTTTCTTCCAGTAATGCCTACCTCCCACCACTTAAATAAATTCTGTAACTTTAGGTACAATGGTTCTTTTTATGGTGAATTACATATAACTTCCTTGTTTAAAATTTCCCAATGTCTACAAAATATATCTAAGTATTCTTTGACTTGAGCTTATGCTTTATTCTCAAGTTTCAATTTTACACATTCTCATGTCTATTCTAAATCTTATCAAATAACCTGCTGGTAGTGCATTCCCATACAAAGTATACTGTTTAGCATCTCTATTCCTTTATTCTTTCTCCATACCTAGAAATCCCTCTCCAGTTCTTTTTTTTTTTTTAATGTACTAGCATTTATTCCTCTTTCAAGGATTATTCAGATGGCTCATCCATCAAGACATTCCTGTTAACTCCCAGGATGAAAATGTGTCCTCCTTTTGTCTTTGTGCTCTCTAGATGATTACGGTATTTAATTTAGGTGTGCGTGTGTGCATACACACATCAGTTGCTTATTAGATGTACAGTGATACTTCTTGAATGATTTAATCTTTTTTTTGATATATATATAGGAAAACTGAGGATTACAGATAATAATTTCCCATATCCTTACTCTTTGCAAGAAACAAGCAGCATAGATATTAAAATCTATTGTATTTTTCACAATGAACCAGATGGGAAATCATTATATTTCTTTACAAAAGAGAAAATTGAGGTTTGAAGAGGTTGGGTAGACCAGCAAAGTTACAAAGCACTTAGTAGACAGCTAAGTTAGAAATCTAAGTCATAGTTAAAAATCTATGTCTTGAGTGGATTGGTTGCAACTGGATTCTGTTACTGTTTGGATCAAAAATGTCCCCCAAGAAGGTGTGCAGAGGTGGCACATTTGAAAGGTAGTTAGAAAACAGACACATTAATCTAATAAAGTTCATAGATAAATGTGCTGTTAGGAGGTGGGGCCTGGTTGGCTGGAATAGGTCACTGAGGGCTTCTTTCTGGCTCCCTTGCTCTTGATCTGCATTCTGGCCTCCATGAATGGAGCAGCTTTCCTCCGCCATGTCTTTCCACCATGGTGTTTCTGCCTTGAAGCCCACTGACCATGAACTGAATCCCCTGATACCCTGAGACAAAATAAACTTTTCCTCCTTTAAGTTATTTATGACAGGTGTTTTGTTACAGCAACAGAAAGCTAACACATAGACATAAAATCATGAGAAAGCAATTATACATAATTTTTTTAAACAAATGATTGAGTAGGTTGGTTATTTTTAAGCAAGGCTAATAAAAACAGCTCTGTACACATGAAGAAACAATTTGTTGTCAACAATATCCCACAAATTTACCTTAGAATATTTTTCTCCCTTCCTTTCCCATAAATATTTTAAAAACTGCACCAAAGCAGAAAGCACTGAGTCAGGAGGTATAGTGGATTGAATGTGAAAAGCCATGATTTCTGTTGTCAAAAGCATCACAATTAATTTGAAGAATTAACACATACAAGGCAAGATATAGTAAATACCCTTGTAAAGTGGTCCTAAGCAAAATTAATTAGAGATACTATTTATTTAGAAATGTGATCATCCATATGTGGAGAATTTATCTTTCAGGAAAAGAAGCTCAATATTCAAAACTACTTTCTTATTTTTCTTAAGCAAAATATACTTTTAGACAGAGTTGGGGATTAACATAGGGTTGATTCAGAAATCCCTCCTGGGATCTTTGGCCATAATTATAATAGTAAAATTGAATGAATAGACAATCAATTATATTTTCATTAAATCAAAGTAGACATGTGATATGTAATAATTTTTAAAGATACTAACCAGCTCTAAAATTCTGTTATTCTTTACTTACAATGCATTAAAAAAATAGACTTAGTTTCTTTCAATTTCTCTCCTTTGTGTAAAAAAGAAATTCCTGTTTTTGTCTCCACTTTATCAAGATATAATTGACAAATAAAAATTATATTTATTTATAGTATATAAGTTAATGCCTTGATAGTTATATAATCATGAAATGACTAAATCAAGCAAATTAACATATTTGTCACTTTATATACATATTAGATGCTTTTGTGGGAATCTTTTGCTTATGAGGTTTTATCTCCTTAAAAATTTAGATAAACAAATATTATAAAAGATTTATATATAATTCTTTCATATAATTTTAAATAATTCTGAAAGCACTCTTGGAACTATTGTCCTTCATGGAGCTCTGTAGAAAAGCAGGTTTCAATGAATAGCTGTTGATATAATTCTATTTTTCCTGTTTTCTCCCAAGTCTCAATCTTATACAATAACCAGAATGCATGCATAGTTTTCCTTTTTTTTTTTTTTTTTTGGTACCAGGGATCGAACTCGGGACCTTGTGCTTGCACGGCAGTCGCTGGAACCACTGAGCTAAATCCCCGGCCTTGCATGCATAGTTTTCATATAAGGTGTAAGAAACTAAAGTATTTAAAAATCATCTTTATCTGATTTTTCAAAATATTTTTAAATGAAATGACATTAATAATTTGAAGTTATTGGGCCGGGGCTTTAGCTCAGTGGTTCTGCTGCCTGCCTCAAACACGGAAGGTCCTCAGCTCAATCCCTGGTACCAAAAAAAAAAAAAAAAATATAATAATAATTTGAAGTTATTCAAGAATAAAATGTATATTTTACAAGCTATTAAATTATTAAAAATCACCTCACTAAGAAACTTATACATCTCAGATGACTCAATTCATCTATGAGGCTGAGAATCAGAATGGAAAGTTCTGTGCACAGTTGCAACTTTTTCCAAATTAGCCATGTTTGAGCTAGGGAGAGGAAAGGCTATTTTTGAAATTCACAAACAATCTTTAAATAAAATTTGGTGATTACTCCAGTGCCCAAAAATAGGCTACCAATTTTAGGAAGAAGACAGTAAGAATAGAAATCAAAATTAATTGATTTATGTGGAATTTATTTGTTGCCTTTGGAATATTCTTGGTAAGCCTAA